ACTAAACTATTTATGATGAGATACTCGAAAGTGAAATTAAGAAAAAAAGCGCGATAAAACACGAAAACTGAAATCAGATCAGGGAAGACTGATATTTAAAAGACAGATAAAGCTTACGATATTTTGAAAATTAGCTAGAAAAAAATGGCAAACAATAGAATAGAGCATGTAGCTAGAAAATCCACGAAAAGGCCAAATTTACCTCGAAGACCAGATCAAAATGCACAAACAACCTCTGCGACCGATTCAAACAAGGATGTCACGGATCCAAACACAGACATCACCGATGCAAACACAGATGTCACCGATCCAAACACAGACGTCACCGATACAAACACAGATGTCACCGATGCAAACATAGACGTCACCGATCCAAACACAGACGTCACCGATCCAAACACAGACGTCACCGATCCAAACACAGATGTCACCGATCCAAACACAGGCGTCACCGATCCAAACACAGACGTCACCGATGCAAACACAGACGTCACCGATGCAAACACAGACGTCACCGATCCAAACACAGAAAATTTAGGTTTCTAGACCCTAGCCTTTCAGTCTAGGGAATATAAAAACTACTATTCCATCTTGTCTAAACAACGAAAGAATTTGTGAGAATTTCGTGAATTTTAATCAGTTGATTTCAAATTTTGAGAATGTGCTTATATGAGTTGTATATAGATTAAAAAAATTCTTAAAACTTACACGAATATCAATAACAAAGCCATTTTTTGGACCATCTTGATGATTACGAACATATTGATCAATAGCACTAACATTTCGCATAAGTTTCACCAACTTTCGTGTTCGAACAACTAAAGCATGTGTTTTGTGTAATGCTTTGAGAATCTGATTATTTTCATCATTGGTTGATGAAGAAAAATTAGGTAAAGAATCGTCATATTCTTCATCAGCAGGAACAGCTGTTGGTAAAAGTGATGATGCATCAGCATCATGTAAAACAATGATATCCTTGTTGTTATTATTTTGTTTTTTGTTTCTGATTTCTTTTGATCATGTTTTTGTTCATTATCAACAATTTCGTCTTCATCATCATATACCACATCAACAAAATCATGTTCATCATCATAAATTTCTGTAATCAACTGGTTTGGTTGAAAAGCGGGGCACGGCATTTGCGCGCGTGACAGTTGCGCGCCGACACTTTCGCGCAACGACATTTTCGCGCACGACATTTACGCGCGCGACACTTACGCGCAAAATGTTTTTTTTTGTGCGCTTGACTTCGGGCTGTGTTGGATATGAGTACGGATGTGGCTTAGGATATAGGTGCTGAATGTGGGTGTGGGTGTGGGTGTGGGTGTGGGTGTGGGTGTGGTTGTGGGTGTGGGTGTGGGTGTGGGTGTGGGTGTGGGCGTGAGGATGTGTGTGGACGTGAGGGTTAAGTATTACCCTAGTCTCAATTCTGATCATTTATTGAGAAATCCTGGAAGAATCTTTCAGGATACTAGATTTCAAGGATCTTGTCAGGTTTTATTCAAGATCCTGCCGCAGTTCTTGATAATTCGTTTTTCCAGGGTTTCGTACGGTTAGGCAGAGCCCTGTTTAGCACTTATCCAGGTTCCTGTCAAGATATTTTTCTAAATCATGAATGCAGGATCCTACAAGGATTCAAACTTGATCCTGCTTAGTAGCCTTACACGAATAATAGAGATGATTCTTTCAAGATTTCATGCAGTTCGGACGCAATCTGTTCAGGATCCTGATTGAATCCTGCTAGGAATTCGACCAGGATCTTGAAATTCTGTGACTACACGCTTCTTTCAGGATTTAGTCGTTTCTTCGGGAAAAAAAAGCAAATCCCTCAATGATCCTGATTGAATTCGTTAAGGATCAGACACAGAAACATCAAAGATTTTCCCTAGGGTAGTGAAGATGCATCAAGGTTTGTCTCGAACAACTGCTCTCCCATCGCAGTGACACCCACCTTCCGCCATCATCACACCCAAATCCAAAGGCAGACCTATTCCATGAAAAGAAATAATTTTGCGCGTAAGTGTCGTGCACGAAAATGTCGTTGCGCGAAAGTGTCGCTGCGCGGAAGAGTCGTGCGGGCAAGTGTCGCGTGCGCAAGTGTCGTGCGCGAAAATGTTGGCGCGCAAGTGTCGGCGCGCAAGTGTCGGCGCGCAAATGTCACGCGCGCAAATTTCGTACAACCGTTGAAAAGGATACCTGAAAATAAAAAAGTGAAAGTATAGGTTTTCTACTGATTAGAATCTACTGGGAACAATCTTATCAACAGTATTTTTTCCAATCGGTAACAACGCTATCATTTTTTTTTATATAAATGGATTTGACGATTTCGAATATTTATTGACAGGATCAAAATCGTATTGATGTAGAAAACTTGCAAAATGAATAACACAAATGAATTTTTGAGGAGACATGATCTCCACTCTCGTCATGTAAGAAAAAATATTCATATATGTGGAACTTCTATTGCATATCAACATCTTTTTTTTCGACCAAAGTTGAGAAAGCAGCATTTCGGCAACATAGTTTATCTCAAGAAACCATTTAGACTATCATTTTTAAGTACTGTACATGTGGATATTTTAATTAGTCAGAATAAGGTAATATAACTTGAGCCAAAATAGTGAACAACAGGCTGTTGGTGTCTTAACTAGAAAATCTTGTGTGATAGTTTTTCTTGGAATTTTATCATACCTACTATCAAAATGTCTTCCTCATTCTCTCAGATTCTTGATAATGTTATTCCGATTCATTTTACTTAGACAGGTACTGTATATAGTACGTTATTCTTCATTTTCAAGATTAAAAGTGATTTTTAGCTGATCATGTTCGTTCAAGTTTTTCTAAGATACGTTGATCTCGTTAGGAGAAAGGATGAAAAAAAACAAGCATTAAGATAAATTTGCGAATTTCGCGCTTTTCTATCTAATTTTTATTGTCGATGAGGGTAACTCTATTTACTTCTCAATCGAAATTCTTTGAAAGTATAGCATAAAATTACTTACCGATTCTCGTTAGGACTTTCCCAAATACAAAGACCATGATTGATAACGAGATTTAATATGTAAGCGATGCACGGAAATCGAGGACTGAAATCCCCAAATTCTGTAGCTGCTCTAATATCACTGGCATTGTCTGTTGTAATACCAGCATGTGAACAATTGAGCAAGCCAAATCGATTTAATTCATAGGTGATGAATTCATGTAAGTTTTCACCAAGCTTCCTGTTAGTCAAACGTCGAAATGATAAAAGCAAAGATACTGGTTTTAATTCATCATTGAATACATGAGCAGTAAGACATATGAAATGATCTCGTTTTGGACTTTTCCAGATATCTGTGGTAAATGCTATTCGTCGATCTTTAGATAGAAGTTGTTTCAATTCATTTATATATTCATGATCATGATTGTGAATTCGTTTGCGAATAGTTCGACGATCTGGAGCTCTATATCCAGGTTCTAGTTTTTCAAATAATTTATCAAACATGGATGAGAAAAATGATTGTATGGTAGTCCACCATGAATAATACAATTTAATATCAAACTATCTATTGATTGACGATGAACTGTATTTACAATAGGAAGTGCCTTAGACGGCTTTTCTTTTTTCTTATTAACAGATGTATTATTACCAACATTAATTTCATGGCGTATAAGAAGATGATGTTGTAGGTTGAATTTGGAGGATTCATTAGTTGTCTTGAGCTACAAAAACAAATCAACAGTAGTAATTATTCATGTTTTGGTAGCAAAAAATGTGCTAATGTCTAGTGACAAGAGCATCTATCAATAAAACTGCAGTTGCTACAACGGCTTTGAAGTAGCATCAACTCTCTTTAAAAAATTCCTGATAATCTCTTACAAAATTATACTACTGTTGTAATGTCAACGTTAGCATTCGACTGACTCATTATTGCAGTCGAATAATATTTTCAACATTCCTTCAGATCAACGAAACACGTGTTGGTTTCTGATATTGCAATATGATGTATATCCAATTTCATATTGTATTTAGAAAATAGTTTTTCATATAAAAAAAGAGCAGTTTATATAGAAGAAATTCATGTGTTGTTTTGTATTTCCAATCTACAGGATGACATATATTATAATGATATTTAGACATCTAATTCATGAAGGGAGTTTGTAGAGTATTAGACTCCTAACCGAGATGATTTCAGTTTGGTTCTTACTAAAAGCTGCACGGCGGTAAGAGATGTAAGACAGAAACGATATAAAGAAATAATCAGCAGTAATGAAAGTATTCACGTCACTATCTTTCTGTATTCTTACCAATTTGAAGCCAAAGGTATAGGAAATGAGCTAGTTATTTTGTTCTTTCAGAAGAAATATTTCTGCCTTTCAGCTTTAATACTGCTCATTCAGTAGCGAATTAAAATTCTGATGAAGAGAACTGATTTGAGGGAAGTGGATCAATCATAGACAAGTCATGAAAGGTTTTGAGGAATATAAAAAGTACTATGAGCTTACCTTTAAGTCTTTGGTATTATAAAAAATGGAACTTTTTTTCTCATTATTGAAAAATCTTTCCAAACATGTTTCAAAGTCGTTATTGAACATATTTACTTCGGCGGTCAAGGGAAGTGAGCCAAACTTTTGTGAACCAAAGTGCGCTACTGTCGACGTGTTTTAAAACCTTTCGCGTTGATAGTAGCGCACTTTGGTTCACAAAAGTTTGGTTCACTTCATATGACCTACTTCGACATAGATTGAATATTTATTCTTTATGAAAAACTTCCGATGTCGCTGATGTTGCTTTTTTAAAACAATTTTTGAGGACGATGCAAGATTTGAATTAAACACTGCCTAATAAAAATTGAGTCTAACAAATCAATTTTTTTCACCTCTGTTAAACATTTGAAAAACCTGAATTGATTCTTATACGGCCCTTACTCAAACTAAAGCAGAATCATACAGTAATCACGAACATACTAAGTTTAATGGTAAATTAAACACTAACTATAGTTACCATAATGCTCAGCCAAATATAGATTTCAAGCTACCAGATTTTTTTTGATGCTACGCTTTACAGCTATTCATACTTATGTTACTTTGGAAGCAGTAGGAAACTGGAAACTCGAAGGTTTTGAAAGCAATCACAAAAAATGTTACAAGGATTTATTTTCTTGAATTAACGGTCTTACTCGAATGCTTCTCTAAAAAAATACAGGTTGATTTTTAAATGTATCTCCAAGAGAAAACCTCTAAGCTATGTTAACGACTGTTCGAACCTAAACAAGATTCGGATGATTATGTGAAAACTTGTAAAGGTTGACAGATTAATAAGAAACTTGAAAGGCTTTGCCTCTGAATACAGGTTCCGTGATAAATCAGTTTTTAGAGTTGAATGTATGCTGTGGAGTACATGTGTTGTTTACAGTAAACTAGAGAAAAATCGGTCTAATTAAGGCATCTTATACCCTAAAATACTTCATTGCATTCTTTATCTGTAATTATCACTATTGGTTGCTAAGTAATTCACATTTCTATGGTTTTTCTTGTATTTTACACCAAAACGAATATTTAAATTCAACGTAGAACTGATGGTACATCAGAATCAAATAATTACCAGATCTATTCTATCAGTATAGTTATGGCCTATTTGAGTTAGAACTTAACATTTCAAAAATTTCTTTCACGAACTACATAATGGAATATGATTAGATCATGTGCCTGTGAAGTATAGTGTAGTCGGGAAAGACACTAGCGTCTTTCTTACTACCCTGTTGTAATTTTGCTTAAAAAATTAAACGTTTATTTGTAAAAAATATATGAAAAGTTAGTGTTATTTTAATAACATCAACAATTTGTTATTGACGTGGTATTTCTTTCGATTCAAGTATTCCAAAAAAAATTCACTTTACTTGATTTATTTTTAAGATGCATGCATATGGTGTCATTACGGTTTCTACATAATGGTGTGATATAGATCTTATTATTTCAATAAGTTTTTTGACTAAGTTGCAACCAATGCAACATACATTGAAATATATGTAGAAACCAAATAACTTACTTGTTGACATATATTGCACATAAATTTATTATTTTCAAACGCAGTAAAGTATTGCATCAAAATAGTCATAGATATTAGACTGGATGATTTTTGATTTTCTTTTTTGTTCTAAAATAATTAAAATAACATACAAAGAAACCACATATATTCAATACGGATTATAAGAGGTCTCTAATCAAATATCCAAAGAGATAAGATATACAATATCGAAATTGCTCACCTCAATTTCATCGTCTGAAGATCTTTCAAATGTATCTTGTACTTGACCGGCTTGATTTTGTTGAGATGATAAATGAATAACATTAAAATCAATTGATGACTCATCAGTAGTATTATTCAGTTCTTGACTATTCTGAGCAGTACGTTTCGTTGAATTTTTCAATTGATTTGTATGAGAAAGTGGAAGTGGAGTATAAGGTTTCAAACAATTCGATACGTTTTTTCGTTTGGCTTTAGGTGTTTGAGATCGTCGTGAAGAAATTTCACGAGCAACAGATTGAGAAACTTCTGATGAGCTTGATAAAGACAAAGAACGAATTCGATTTTTCGGTAAACTTGGATCAAAATCAATAGAACGTGAAGGTGTTGATGATGTCATATTCAAATAAATGAAAAGATAAACTTAACTCAAGCGAAACATAAGATGACAATTTTACCGTTATTTTTGTTCATCAATCGAGATTAGGATATATAACCATAATGAAATACATAATAGTTGGCAGTAGAGGTCGTTCATAAACGATATCTTTATTATTAAAAAAACAACAATGGTAAATGTTTAAAAACACAGATAGGATTTGTGAATAACCTCTTTTAAGTCAAACTACTCTATTTCTTCGTCTTCGATATCCCAAGTAACTTATCAAGATGTATCAGTTAGTGAGAAAGAAAAGATCGCCTCATTTAAATTAGAAATTGAGACAGATTATATATTTTCACTCTATTCAACCAAACGATTTATATTTACAGAAAGCAACATATCAAGCAAAATCTATTTGTCTTCTTTTTTTCTATCATATCACGAGATTGACGCTGTTGAGGCAGCAGAGAGTTGATCAATATTACCAATATGGGTGTTTGAAGATTTAAGCATTAGATATTAGTTAGCAGCAAAAGCAAAGCCAGCGATTCAGAAGAAATACCTCTAAAACTTGGGTTTTCCAAATTCTAATGATTCTATCCTAGTATTTGTTTGACATCTATCAAGTAATGAGTATTTAATACATTAATTAAATTTATCATACCAGATATACTCATGTTCATAAACGTGAGATATAGAACAGTATTTTGAACGATACTACTTTGACATTGAAAAAGCTATCATAGTAGCTACAATCGATAAAAGTAAGTGTAGTTGGAGTATATTCAGAACTTCTCAGCGCGCTTCAACTTTTGCTACCTTTTGTCCAAATTCGAAAAAATTATGCGTATGATTTGAACCACATGCAGCAGAAAGACAGTTGACTTGCTTATCTTCAAACATGTGTATACATATCAAGTCAAAATAGTTTCTTACTATTTTGGTCCTTTTACAGTTTGTACATTCATAATGATTAAGAAGTTACTCTTGTAGTTCGAATTGTATCTTCTGGTGATAGTGTCTTCCAAATCTATCGTTGGATCAAATTCTCATGGATTGAGAGAAGAGTCGGCTGCTGTACCAGAACCACTATCTTTTTTTTTGAAAATTCGATGTTTTTTTTAATGTATAAAGCTCAGATTCGCAGAAAACTCGAAACTGGAAGTTAGAAAGAAGGTTTCTCGCTAAATTTAGGCGAATAATTCCTCTATAATGACCCTAGTTATAGAGAATAGGATTGAGAAAGTTGTTAGAATTACTTCTAGATTATGAAAACCTTATGAATTTACATTATAATATTCGTACCCAGCATGTTTCATTCTACCAATGTATATAATTTTAACTTGTAAAAAAAAAAATTTTTCTTCATCAAATCTCGGGGTAACCCATGGCATACAATTTTTTAATGATACATTTTAACAAATAAAGTTTAAAAAATGATCAGCGATGGCCGTGCTATCAATAACGTAGAAATGCTCACGCTCATGAGCGTGAGCGTGAGCTTGAGCTGTACAGCCCTAATTTAGAGCCAAAAATTTGACGGTAAGTAGAAGTAAAAAATTTGTATGTCTGTAGAAAATTTCAGCTGAACTGGTAGAGAAAGTTTTTGGATATAGCCGCATTAAGATCGCCCCTCCTCCCCCTATGATGAAAGTGGTCATTCTTGGGACTTTTCGTAAAATACTCATAAAAAATCGAGGGTTCAATATTTTTTAAAACGGCTTTCGCGAAAATTCTTGGAACTCTTTCCTCTACAACATATCCTAAATTGAGCAAAATCGGACGACCTCAATTGAGCAGAGTCCTTGTGTTTCGGTCTTGGCTTACGTGGACTGATTCTTATGTTATTAGACAAATTTTTGTCATGAAACTGTGTCTGCACTTATTCATATATCATAAACTTTCGGATGAAAACATGTCAGTTAATATTTTGATCATGAAATAATGAATAAATATTAGTGAACGATTTATGTAATACAGAGTAGAATAATATTCACCTAAACTTATTTCAATATATATATATAAAGAGAGAAACACTTAATACAAACGACTAGGTTATAATGCATATCGAATATACATATGTCTTTTTCGAATGCTATTAGCTAGGTAGATATTATCACTTGCAATTAAAACAAAATAAAACAATGTTGATTTTCTTTTCAACTTTATTTTTTCATTTATTTAATGAAAATACATGATTAAGATAATGACCATGCATTTCCATCACATGGAAGATAATCGCAAGTGCTACATCCACATAACTGAGGTTGACTGTCACACATACATGGAGCAAAGCATAGCATTGGACCACAGAATGGATTAGAAAATTAAAATAAATTTGAACGTGATAGAACACGACGTTGTTCTTCAACAGACGCAGCAAGTTTAGTCGAAACCAAAAGAGTTGTACAAAGAACAGAAAAAAGAATGGGGGTGATTTGATTACACCCAATAATAACTAATAGGTCTCTTTTGTAGGATTGTGAAGAACGACGACTGTTTTATTCTCGAGCTTAAAACAGGTATTTATTACGATTCATAAACGTTTGAAATTAAGTTAGCTGACCATATTCTCAAGTATATACTCCTCCGCACATGTTATTAATATTATAATCGATAGAAAAAAAGAACAGAATCATATCTAGCAAACCAGCAGAATTTGTTCTTAAATTTCATTCGTAACTTTCAATTAAATCTTATAATTCGTTAAACAAAACGAAACATATCATCAAAACAATTATAACTTGTTTGGTCGAACTGTTTACTAAGCATATTATCTTTCTAGCTTTCCATATTACTATGTTTACTCAAAATACATCTGTATAAATATATCGTACTTTAACCCTATCTTATCATCAAAACTACTGATGATTATTATATATATGTAAATATCTCAAACAACTGACAGAAACTCCATTATTCTTCATGTCTACTGATTCAACTTGTGTACATTTTTAACAACATACGTATATATTGTTCGACGTAATATTCTATCAAATTTTTATCTACCCTATCATCATCTAATAAATTTTTCTATTTACTAAGTGTTAATTGACAAGCGTTGGACGGCAATAGATATAAATACTCGCTAGTTTTTACCTAACATTATTTCTATTATTTTTAACCATGAAGCTAACAGGTATATTAATCATCGCTTTCTTTCTTGGTCTGTTTTTAACTGTTGTCTTATCGGATATGGAAAATAATGATGTCGATTTCATCGATGACAATCATCTTATATCCAAGCGAGGTATATTTCATCGTGGACGTCGTGACAATCAATCAGAATCACCAGGACAATGTGTCCCATGTAAATTTGGTTTTATACGCTGTTGTTATCCAAATATTTGTGTTAAAAAACATTTGCGGCCAGATAAATGTCTTCGTGTAAAGGGTCGCTGAAATTTTATTTTGTGATTTATTTTTGTTTTACGAATAAAAATAAAAACATGTTTGCTGTGATTAATTCATTTAATTAAAACAAAAAGAACAAAGTCATAGACTTAAAAGTCGGATCTTATTTCGTTGAAACCTTTTCTTAATTAGTAAAAAAGAAAAATGTGGAAACCTCGGATTTAAATCCGAGAGTTATGTGTACTTCAAAAAGTGAATGAGACAAATCGGTCATCCTAGAATGTGCGGATATAAAAATTAGCCTGACAAATCCTTTCTATAAACACTTGAATTCTGTTGGCTACTGCTCAACCAATAGGATTTCGGCGTGAATACAGCTTAGATTTTAACTCTTCACCTTGATTTACCCTAAGAAACTCGTTTTTCCTATAGCTTGATTTCTATTGGTCATTGCTCAACCAATGGGATTTCGAGGCGAATGAAACATAGATTCGAGTTCTCCATTCTAGAAAACCTCGAACTATCATCTCTGTGATGGGAAGATAGAGCTCGAATTGTGGATCACATAGAGCGTGGACAAAAACAGAACCGAATTCCGATTAATTATCTTTGCAATAGGCGAGTTAGCTTTCTTGTTTCTTTATGTTTTATATACCATTTTGTAGCTCTTGAAATTCTCTATCGAATGGTATATAATAGTTGGGGTTTTATATGACTATGATAGGAAAATTTTTTTATGGAAGCAGAGAAGGGTCTATCTTCTCATAGGGAAAAATGACTATTTTTGCAATAACTCAGCAATGGTTCGGCCAATCATTCTTGTCTTCGAACTCGACCGAGATATTGTTAAGACTAAACTGTGTAGAAAATTTCATCGCGATCGGACTCTCCTTTCAAAAGTTATCGTGTTAACGGCCGGACACACTGACCGATTCTAGAGTGTACTCACTTTTTGAGTACACAAAAAAGAAATCTGTAGGAGTCATTGCACGTAAGCGACGACCACCCTTGCTCAATAGATCGGACCAATTTGGTTCCTATTTTTACAGTAAATAGATCTTGTAGAGCTAGCAATAAACTGAAAATTTCAATTCAAACAGATTAACTGTTTTTGAGATATACGACTCAAAAGTATTGCTACTTTGAAAAAATTCAAGATCTTTTTAGTGCAAAACTTTTTAGTGTATTTTCATTTTCTAACGAACTATAAGAGTTATTGTCGAGATTTTTTCACCATAGATACTATTGATGTTGGGCTATCTAACGATAGGAATGAAAGTATTTTATCTTAACATAAAGTTTGATTCATATTATATATCATTTTAAAAATGCGTCCTCATGTATATAGGGCAACTTAGTCGAACCAGTGAAGTAGAATACTTTGAAAATAGTCTCGTTTGAAAGAGCACATAAAAATGCATTACATGGTATTCTCAGAGATTTGGGAGATTGAAATTTGTTGTACAAAATTTTTTCAATAATTTTATCAATAATTTTCGCCTATAAGAAAATTGACGTATCCGATATCTTTATTGTTTTATTATTATAAATTGATGTTTTTAGACACGTAACTATATAATCTGATAGTGCTTAAAATTTCTCTATAAATCTATATGCAAACACTTAGACTTACATGTTTTTGCTAAAAAATCTTTAGCACAATG